AGCTTAGTTGGTATAAAGTCAAAGACTGAGCTCTTATTAAAGCACCCACCTGGATACCACAGAACTATATACCCAAAACTTTAGCCTTGAATAGCTTCATGGCAGCAGGGACAAAATTATTTCCATGATGGTTTGTAAATTCTGAAATTCCTAGAGATGTTCTTTGAGCCATTACTGCTAGTACCCTAACTTGGTTGCCCCAGCAGTTAGAAGATTGGAAATAGATGCCTAAGTCTTTGAAACATTTCACCTTCTCAACAGTCCTTCCATTTATTGATCATCTAGCCAAGGGGTTGAAATCTTTTCTTGAGGAGTTTTGGTTTTGAATGATTTATCTCAAGGCATGCTATATCACAAGAAGCCAATAATGTTCTAAGATACCTATGTAGCCCAATTTTTGATACAGAGAAAATGGCTGCATCATCTGCATATGGGGCAACTAGCAAGAGAGGGAGGATGAAACTCTGGGTTGACAAAAACCTCAACAATGTCATTAATATAAAGGTTGAACAGCAAGGGTCACATACCCATCCTTCCTTGACCCCTTTACAGGTAGAAATAGGCTCCATTAGATCCCCATTGCTATTACCCTCGACCTGTATGATAGTCCTTTGGTGTAACTGTATAATCAATTTAAGGAAATGGTGTTGCTAATGGTTAAGGTTGCTAATTTTCTCCAGAGTTTCTCTCAAGATAGAGAATCAAATGCTGCCTTTAGGTCTATGAAAATGTCATAGAGGGCTCCATTTGGAAGATTATAATGTTTCTCTACTAAATGGTGCAGAATTATATTCTGTTTCATTGTTGAATATTCATTTTTTAAATAATTTTTATTGAAGATTATATAAAACAGATACAACTAATACAAAAATCAAACATATTTATTTGTATTCAATATATATATCTATATCTCTCTCTATATATATATCCTTAGCCTGGAGATAGGGATATATTTTATATCTTTTTTAATTTTTAATTTTCGAATGATCTTCCAATTCCGTTTGTAAATCCAATATTTCCATCTTTTTCTTATAGATTGTAATTTTTAAGTCCACTTTAAAATCCATTTCAGTTATTTTCCAAGAAACTTTATTCTCTTCAGTAGCAACTTTTGGTTCCAATATAGGGTTAAATATCCCTAGGATTTCTTGAACCAATTTATAAAATGTTTCCTTTAAGGTGGCCATCTGATGCTCTCTGGTGATTAACCTTCAAGGCTTTGTTATCAGGTCAAAATGTAAACATAAAATTCTTTCCCACA